AACCAACTTCGGGAAAGGCGAGGGGGCCCTGGATGTGCAGACTCAAGCCATGGAACGTCATTAAAGGACCACGAATCATAGGGACGCCATCCGCAACCAGGAGTTGGCGTGCCGGACAGCATCGCATCCCGGATTGCCCGAAAGCCCGTGACGTGGAGCACGATGTTGTGGAGGCGCTGCTGGACACGATGCACTTCATTACCAAGACTGACGCACCCATAGAGATGTGGGTGCAACTCGCCCGGCACCTTGCATCCCGTGGGACTCCGGGATTCCCGAAGAACGGCTACGGCGCGTATTACACAACGTAAGCAACTAATTGTTACTTTCTGTTTCCAAACACATTCTTTACTTTATACTAACACAGTGATTCCCTAACCGTGCATTCGCAGGTACGGGTTCGCGGAACTAGTGTCGGCACCAGCGAGCTATCTTCGTGCGAAGCAGCGCGAGTTTATAGACTCGAGCCCCTTCATTGGCTTGAGCTGTGATGAGAGTACTGACCGCGTGCGGGGGAAGCATATGATCGTCTTCGTCACGTTTTTGCGAGAAAACGAGGTTACCACTGAGTTTCTCATGCTATTGACACCTGACAAATGCGATGCAGGATGATCCTTGTATGCAGTGCTCGTTGGTTTCCTCGACAACTTAACCTCCCCCTTGGCAAGATCGCAGGGATTAGCACCGACGGCGCTCCTGTCATGCTTGGCGGAACCAACGGACTGACCGGGCGACTTCAACTCTGCATCCCACATCTGGTCTCGTGCCACTGCATCGCCCATAGGTGGGCGACTCTGCATCCCACATCCAACATCAGCTGCTGTTTTTCTAACTGACAGTCTGACGCCGTGTCTGTTGCTTTATGTTTTACAGGGAGGCACTTGCCGCTAAAGATTATGCAGAAGCGCTCCCAGAGCTCGCCATGGTTGACGCCCTCATCCGTGCTTTGGCGGAGCATCTCGGCCGCAGCAGCAACTCGAACGCTGCATTCAAGGAGCTCCAGGCCGTCTTCATCCGGACAAACCTGGAAATGCAAGGAATACACGCCGTTCGCTGGCTAAGTCGCGGTGACGCGATAGCCCGGTTCGTGAAGGTGCTCCCGGCAGTGGTTGTACTTCTGGAGCAGCTGGATACAACCTGTTACCACATGGTCACCAGCCTGAAGTTCAACTTCTTTGTGTACTTCCTGGTGGATGTACACGTCGAGCTGAACTCGCTCAACCTGCTCTTCCAGAGGCGCGAGGTATTGTTGTGAGCTTGTTTGTTGTAATCACTTCGCGAGGTTTGTTGCTTACGGATTCTTTCTGTCCTGTGTCCTCCCTGCTCTTAAACCCGACCACTGGTGGACTTGACGGCGGTTCACTCCCAGCTGAGGCGAACAGAAGTTTTCATCAGGGAGCGCTACATCGACTGTGGGCAACAGTTCGGTGCTGGGGCGAGCGCTCTACTGTCGCCGTTCCTTGCTCGCCACAGTGCACCATGCAGCAGGCAAGTGACTGTGCAGGGAGTGGCCGCCGACGGGCAGGCAAGGGAGCATGAGTTCACCCTGCACGAGGAGCCGATTCCCGGCTACTCGGCGAGCGCGGGTGACATCCAGTCCTGCATTCGGACGTGTCGCTCGTTTGCGACGGAGCTGCTTTACAACCTCGACTTTTGGCTTGGCGACTTTTCAAATCTCAACGCCGCAAAGCTCTTCATGCCAAGAACCTGGCCGCGTGGGAAAGAGGCAAGGGACGCGGAGTGCAAAGAACACATGGAGAAGCTGGCGGTGATGTTCCATGCTCGCGACAGAGATGAGATACTGCCTGGTGAGTTATCTGGTCTGTTCGCCCACTAAACATCGCTGTGTGTCTTGTACCCCTTAGAAGCGAGGTTGTTGATGCTGCGCTTGTATGTTCCCTTATCATCCCACCAAACAGGTGTGAACAAGCGCGAAGTGCGGAAGGAGATGCGCACGTTTCTGCCTGTGCTGTCCGGGGCGCCAAACGAGGAGCAGCCCTTCCTTGCGGGGTTGCGAGCGATCTTGTCAACTGCGGACTGGCAGACGTATCCGAACCTAGTGCGGCTGTGGGCGGCTCTGGCAGTGTTGCCGCTCAGCACAGTGGAGTGCGAGCGCGGATTCTCGCGCCAAAATGTCATCAAGAGCTGGCAGCGGACCAGCTTGTGCGACGCGAAGCTGGGCGACCTCATGACGCTGAGTCTATTGGAGTACGACATGGAGTGGAGTGAAGTAGTGGCACTGTGGCGCACCACCAAGAAGAGGCGAACCACCAAGCGCAAGGCAGCAAAGGTGGATGTATCGAGGAGAAGTGGCGCGGTGTTCCGGGGGGCACTTGCAGAGAAGCGCGACCACGCTGCTGATGATGATGCTGCTCATGCTGACAGTGGGGGGGACAGTGATGCTAGTGCAGATGATGTGGAGGAGGAGGAAGATGATGGGTATTGAAATGTTTCTTATTTTATAATGAATGCAATTTGACAAAATTGTTTGTTGTGCATGAGTGTCTGTGTGTGTGTGTGTGTGTGTGTGTTGTGTTGTGTTGTGTTGTGTTGTGTTGTGTTGTCGTCATTGTCATAGGTAAAACATGCCAGCTATAAAAAAAAAACTAGTCTAGTCCACAGGATTAGTTGAAATGTAGCACTGATATGCGAGGATAGTGTCACAAGTAGCACTGACAGTTCAGCATACTTAACCTAGTGCAGTCCAGGACAAAACTAGGCTTTCTACTCAACTGCCCTGAGGCCTCAGGGTACCCTCAAACGAATCTGAGGCCCCGAGCTGCTTCTTCAAGGAACCCTAAACAAGGCTTGTTCTGGAGCCGAGGGATTTCACAAATTCGAAGGATTGAAGTGCACGAAGAGAGGACGACTCGTAGAAGGCGTACCTGCCAGCAGCAGTAGCACCACCACGCACAATCGGCTCATGTTTTCTTGCGGAAATACTGGGAAGCAAATGTTTCGGATTGAATGGCAAAATTCCATTGACCTGGGCCATTGCTGAATGCCCCTAGATTTATCGTAGTACTGCTGGTCTGGTTGGTATGTGTAGTTGAGACACCATCAGGGCCTCAGATATCAGGAAAAAAACCCTGAAATTCCTGATTTTGGCAGTCCTTTTTTTACCTACCCTGAAAAGTCAGTGTTGAGAATTTTGAGGGACTGATCTTTCAGCCTTTTTTGTTAGGCCACACTGAAATTTCAGTTTTTTTTCCCCTAGTACACTGATGCCACAACGTTGTAACGAAACCAACACTGAAAGCGATTCTTCTTACCTGTGCCGTGTGGATTTGACCGCAATTACAGGGAATCTCAGATTCCCGAGGTGTAAGCACCCCGTGGCGAGGCCAACCTGTGAAATTCTGCCTCTGGTTCACGTTCAGAGGTGTTTTGTTGGCGCGGCGCCTCACACCATTGGGCCGTTTCGCTGCAGCAGTCAGTCTTGGCCAATCCGAACTTGGCCACCATGTGGTGCTGGAGGGCTGCCAAGGATCCTGCCCCGTTGCCATCACCTGCGACGCGTTAGTGACAGCCTTTTTACTAGTGTAACACTGATGCATCAGGCTTTTTACAAACGCAACACTGTCATTTCAGGCTTTTTTTTTTTGGAACACTGTCAATCAGAGTTTACACACAGGGGGACCCTGATGGGTTGATGACCCTAAAAGTGAATCTGAGGGCCACCATGCTGCAGTTAGCGCTACTCTTGCTTCTGGTGAACTTTCGCGGGAAACCGACTGCTTGATGTTCGTACTGTAGTGAGTTTACTGTATACGGTAATTCCGAATTCATTAGCCAGCTCGGTTCAGTTGTAGCAACAATTGGAAGCAAATCCAATTGAGGTATTAGGCAGCTTATATATCTTACTTAATAATATGTTTGCAAACCAATTATTATGGCAGTGCAGGAAGGAGAATGCGACCATCGACCCCTTACTTCTGTGCATCACCCCTCAGCACCACTCTGCACCCCTTCGAAATCTGCTCACTTCTCGTCTTTATCTCCCTCATCAGCACATGCGCCTGCCCTGGATAAAACCTCCCCCTCACCTCGTCCTCCTTTTGTCCCTCTCTTAAGGCTTCCCTAGCAGGTACCACAAGCACCCACCAAAACTCCTCTAGCGCCGTGAACAGTAAACCCCAGTACTTTTCGTCTCTTTCCACCCTCCACAGTGCACTGCCGCCCCTTTTTGTCCACACGAAAAAATCCAGCCAATCTCGGTCGAATATTTCTAGCAGGCCTTGGATTTGGGGCATGTAGTAGTGCGGTACGGAGGGGTAAGGAGCGGCTGAGAGTGGTAAACCGCGGTTCCAGGGGCACTTGATTTCGAGGACGCCAGGCGAGTGGGGAGAGGAGTGCAGGGAGAGAGGGTCTGAGGGGAGGAGACCGTCGGGGGAAGCACCAAGCCATGAGAAGGTTGTGTCAGATTCCCTGTATATCTGGAAAGGAGAGGGAAGGAAGTAGGTGGAGATACAGGCACGATCGAACGACGAATAAGACATTGTTCAGAAAGCCGCAAGGTAGGAACATGGCGCGGAGGGTCGCAGGGGTGGAGACCTTTGAGTTGACTCAAAAGTCAACTCGGAGGGGAGGAGACCACGGGGGACGCACTGAGGCAAGAATAGGTCGGGTCATGGTGCTTGCCAATACAGAAGGGCATGGAATATAGAGGTCGGATGGGAGGGAGGCGAGAACTAAAAGAATTGAGGTTCAGATGAGAGTTTGTAGGGGGGAGCACCAAGGCAGGAGAAGGTTGGATTGTGGTGCAGGTACATCTGATGGGATGAGAGAGAGATGAGGAGAAGAGGGACGAGCAGGGAGACGGAAAAAAAGGAAGAGAAGCAGAGAAGGCCGCACGTGCAGCTTCCCTGCCCCACACACAGCCTCACCCGGAACGACCTATGCTCCACGTGCCCGCCTGTCAGCCGTTCATACTCCCTCAGAGCCTCCCCCTCCCTCGCCTGCCCCCACTGCATGTCCATCGTTGCCTTACCTACAACTCCTTACCCCACACACACCCTCACCTGGAACGACCTGTGCTCCACGTGCCCGCCTGTGAGCCGTTCATACATCATCAGAGCCTCCTCCTCCTTCCCCTGGCCCCATGCTGTCGCCTCATTCCCTGCAAACGGCGCTCTCAGCCCCAGCTTCTCCTCCCACAGCTGCTGCCGCCCCTCCCCCATAGAACCCCACTGCCTTCTCAACACACACAGCAAACAGGCTGTCAGCCTGTCCGCTCATACCATGAATCTCCAAACATGCAAGAATCGTACCTGGAACGATCTGTGCTCCACGTGTCCGCCTGTCAGCTGCTCATACTCCCTCAAAGCCTCCTCCTCCTTCCCCTGTCCCCACGCGGTCGCATCATTCCCGGCAAACGGCGCCCTCAGCCCCAGCTTCTCCTCCCACAACTGCTGCCGCCCCCCTGGAAAGAACCCCACTGCCTTCTCAAACGCGCTGGCCGTCAGCCTGTTGGCTCGCAGTGTGAACCACTCTTCTGTGCGCTGTTCCTCGCCGCCCTTGTCCAGATTCACTGTATCCTCCCCCTGCGCTGTTATCAGCAATGCTGTGTCGGACTTTGGCATGATCAGTACTGGTTGCTCAGGCCGAAGCAACCCTGGATTGCCATCCCTCCCAAAACGGGTTTCTGCTGCCTCGAACACTCCCCCATGTACTGATGGTGGTGATGATGGTGGTGCTGATGGCGTTGTTTTCTGCCATGCTAACTGCGGTTTTGCTCGGGGCGATTTAAACGTCGGTGGTGGTATTTGGCTGCGAATGATTGCTAGCTGCTGCTGCACGTACTGCCAGCGCTCTGTTGTAGGGCCAGTCAGGATAAGGCAAAGGAAGGGAAAAGGAAGGGAAGGGAAAGGAAGGGACAGGAAGTGGTGGTGTTTATTTGGCTGCGAATGATCGCCAGCTGCTGCTGCACGTACTGCCAGCGCTCTGCGATAGGGGAAGTTGGGATAAGCAAGGGGAGAAAGCGAAGGGAGCCATTGTGTTTGTGTTCGCCAAGGGATAACGAAGTGAGGACGGAATGAGAACCACCATGTGGTTGTGGGGACAAGGGGCGGAAGGGAAAGGAAGAGGCGACGGGTTTGGCTGAGGAGGATCAGCAGCTGCTGCTGCACCTGGTGACTTTTGAGTCGACTCAAAAGTCGCCTGAGAATGATCACCAGCTGCCGCTGCACCTGCACGTACTCTTAGCGCTCTGCGGTGGGGAAGGTCGGGAGACGCAAGGCAGGAGAGAGCCTTGTTTTGTGTCACAAGCAGAGAGCAGCCCCCGCGGTTCATTCCCAGCTCAGGTTGATAGTCTTCCCCTCCTGCTAGGCTGATTCCTTTCCGCACCTAACGAGAGAACGAGAGCGACGCAGACTCCCTTCGCCCTCTGGTGGGGGGAGCGGGGCGGATGCATGCAAGGGGTCCTTTACCTGCGGGGATGACGATGCTCCCTCGGCCTCGGTTCACCACCACTCCCTGCATCTGCATCCCTCGCGTTCTTTCAGAAGCCTCCCATTTTCCAGCCTCCCGCCCGGTCCCGTCCCTCTCTGCTTCGCTCCTCCCATCATCCCCCACCCCGAGCCCCTCCCCCTGGCTCTTCTCTGCCTGCATCTCCCCTCTCTGCCTCTCGGCCTCCTGCTTTTCCTCTTCCGGCCTGTCTTCCTCTGAAGCAGCTGCTGCTGCGCGACTCGACACTCCCCTTTGGAACATCGTCGTACCCGCTACAAGCACTCCCGTTGTTTCAATACGGACGGCGGCAGGCGGCGAGAGGGGAGACGGCGGGGCGCGGCGGGGGGCGGAAAAGGCTCTGCGAAAAGGCTCTGGGGTTGCGGCGGCATCGTGGCTGTGCGGGTTACCAGCGCGCGGAAGGCCAGGGGTTACGTTTCGACTACCACTACGGGGATCATGCTCTGTAGCTCCACTTTGGTCGATAGTGCTGCTGCGGACCTTGTCTCGACCCCAGGGATCTTCCCGCCGGCCCGCATGCGCGGATCGCCCAGTCCCGTTTCGCCACGTGTCACGGGAGACATTGCCGGCGCCGGCCGTCACCGTCCCGGTCCATTTACGTCTGCCGGCGGCCAGCAGAACGGCGACACGCGGCCGCATAATACCGAAAGGACCGACGTCGAAACTCGAACGTATCTGCTGAGGTCTTATCTGTTGCCGTATCGAATCGAATCGCAATCGTGCGCAGGTTGGGTAGATCGGCTTGTCAGGCAAGAAAGCTAGGCGCGCTACGAGCGAAGCTCGGCTGGCGACAAACGAACCCCTTACTAAATGATCTGGTAACCCAGTCATCTCATTGGCTAGGCGGTCTAAACAGTTACCGGGAGATCATCAGCGGCCAGAGAGCTTGCTACAAGAGCCGAGCACACAAGGTGATCACGATAGTGGAACCGCAAATACTGCTTTGGGAACTCAACGATTGACCAACTTCGAAATGATGCGGGAATGAGTGAAAATTGGCGGGAAGGATTGAAACATCGATTTGGGTGTTTGAACGAAAAGTTTTCTTACAGTGCACTTCGTTAACACGAGTGAAACATATAGCACTTGTTCAAATCTCCTTCGTTCTAACCATTTCTGAACAGACGAATTCCACTCAACCGCAATGAAGTTAAGAAACAAAACTTGCACATAATTTTCAGAAAATCATCTCCAGACGAAGTGGAAAAAATGCCCTGAAGGATCAGGGTACAGCTATGTCGTACCCTGAGGATTCAGAATCACGTTGAGAACCAAGGCCAAGCTCTGAGGACTACAGCCAGTTTAGAGCCCTTGCCCTGACAGCTCAAGGTCCCTCCCTACAAATGATTCTGAGGCTCTGGGTTGCGGTGACAATTGCCAGCTTCCATGTCGTGCTTACCGCGAATAATACAGCAATCGGCAATGATTACAGTATTGATCTGCAGACTGTTGGAATAACCGAAAGGTTATAGTAACATTCCCGAAGGATCTCCACTCACGCGTCATTTCATAACGAAGCAACGCGTCTGTACCAGTACCGCAATAGCTCATATATGTTGGGCTGAAAAAGCCCTTAGGATCTTTGCAAGGCTAAACTCTGGGTGGGACTTGTTGTAAATGCGGAAGCGTGTAATGATAAGTCTTTGAACCACCTTGCACTGGTATGTGAGGGCAAAGTAGATTAATTAATACAAGGAGATACAAGGTTTTATAAGAGTACAAGGAATATGAAAAGATGCAACTAATAACTGTTTTACTGTTTGCTGTTGCGGTTCGATACAGTGACGACTCGGGCAACTGCTCAATAGCGAGTCAGTTGTTTGTCCTTGCTGTCGCGCTGTACTTGTCAGGTCAAAGGTCGCTGACCTTTGACTTTCGCGTAACCTCCAGCGGTTTCTGTCAGAGTATGTTATTTGTGTAGCCTGCAGTGGGGTACTCAATAGTGAGTACAGCCCCTTAGGGTTTGCTATTTGTATCCTGCTGCTTGCTAGTCCAATCATTCCTTTCTCAATTCTGTTCGTGCACACAACTCTCGATCGTACTTGGCGCCTTCTTTCTAGTCTTACCTTGGCCTAGGCTACTAAGCCTAGGCCCGTCTGCTAGTATGTTTGACATGGTATCAGAGGGCGGCATGTCTCTGCCGCCTTCCTGTGCATGGGCCCACCACCTACTTCCGCTGCCATACTGTCCGCCGCGCGCCCCGTGGTGCGCGGCGCGGAAATTAGGGTTTCTGCCCGCCGCGCGCTCGGGGCGCGTGGCGGTTTACCCCTCCGTGGCGCCCGTCGTGGCGCCCTTCGGGGGCATGCGCGGTCCCCTCCCGTCGCCCGTCGAGGCGCTCTCGGGGGCCCGCGCGGCCTCCCCTCCCGTCGCCCATCGTGGCGACCACGGGGGCCCGCGCGCGGTCCCCTCCCGTCGCCCGTCGAGGCGCTCTCAGGGGCCCGCGCGGCCTCCCCTCCCGTCGCCCGTCGTGGCGACCACGGGGGCCCGCGCGCGGTCCCCTCCCGTCGCCCGTCGAGGCGCTCTCGGGGGCCCGCGCGGCCTCCCCTCCCGTCGCCCGTCGTGGCGACCACGGGGGCCCGCGCGCGGTCCCCTCCCGTCGCCCGTCGTGGCGCTCCGGGGGGGCCCGCGCGGCGCCCTTCCCGTCGCCCGTCGCGGCGGCCCTGGGGGCCCGCGCGGCTCCCTTTCTCGTTGCCCATCGGGGCGCCCTGGGGGCCGCGCTCCTCTCCCCCCCTCCCTCCTACCTTACACCTGCAGCGGCCGCCCCTGGAGCCGCCCGCCACTGCAGCAGCCGCCCCTGGAGCAGCCCGCACCTGCAGCAGCCGCCCCTGGAGCAGCCCGTGCCTGCAGCAGCCGCCCCAGGACCCGCGCGAGCCGCCCCTGCAGCAGCCCGCGGCCCGTCCCTGCAGCCCGTCCCGTTCCCCCCCCCCCCCCCCCCCCCACCCCCCGTGCTGCCCATTGCTCCCATTCCGCCGTGCGTTCCGCGGTGGTGGGGGTGTGGGGTGGCGAGCATGGGGGTGCGAGGTGTGGGTGCTCCCCTTCCCTTTCCCCTCCTCCTTTTTCGTCTCCCACTGCTGCAGCTGCTGCTGAGGGGGGTGGAGGTGTTGGAGCCGCGGGGAGTGGAGCTAGGGGGGTGATGTGGGAGTGGAGCTAGGGGTGCAGCAGGGGGTGTGTGGTGGGGGGTGCGGGACAGTTGGGGGAGGTTGAGTGGAGGCAGCCGTCTTGTCGTCCGCAGCGCCTGTAGTCCGGAGCCGTCGCGCTCTAGTAGCCCAGCGAGCCTGCTGCGCCAGTCGCCCGTGGGTCCGTTGCTCCTGCCGCTCGTCGTAGCCGCAGAGCCTGTTACTCCTGTAGTCCGGAGCCGTCGTGCTCTCGGTAGCCACTGTGCCAGCTGCTGCTCCTGTTGCCCGTGTGTCTGCAGCTCCAGTCGTCGCCTCCCATCTTCTCTCCTCCCACAGTCCCTCCTCCTCCTCACTTGCCTTCTGTGACTGCCTCTAGCTTTGCTCAAAATTGTGAACTATTGCACTGCCTGCTCATTGTGCTGATTACACCCCACTTTGGCTATGGGGGTGTGTCAGAGTATGTTATTTGTGTAGCCTGCAGTGGGGTACTCAATAGTGAGTACAGCCCCTTAGGGTTTGCTATTTGTATCCTGCTGCTTGCTAGTCCAATCATTCCTTTCTCAATTCTGTTCGTGCACACAACTCTCGATCGTACTTGGCGCCTCCTTTCTAGTCTTACCTTAGCCTAGGCTACTAAGCCTAGGCCCGTCTGCTAGTATGTTTGACAGTTTCTTCACTTCTCAACCTCCAAGTGTTGACTCGCCGATGCTTCGCTGTGCTTCGCTGTGCTTCGCCTCGTTTACGACTTAGTGTTTCGACACACAACAGAAGCGTTCAAATGACTTGTTTCCAACACTCCCCTTCGCTTCTGGAGTGTCGCTGCTAGTGACGTGGCTCTGTCCAGTCAGCAGCATGCAGTACTCGAACTTCTGCTTTCCGAGCTTCTTGGTCAAGTAATCAGCTGCCATCACAGACGTGGGGTAGTAGGACAGCTCGAGTCTCCCCTTCTCGATCTCGTCCTTCACGAAGAAATATCGTAGAGCGATATGCTTCGTTCTGTT